TCATGTTCACAACCTCTTCCTGAGGTTTTAGGCAAGTTTTATGTTAATGGACAAAACATACGTGAAATACTTTAACCATGGGTTTGGTTTAGGAAAGAAAGTAGAAGAAAAGAAAGTAGGAGGAAATAGAGTTGAATGAAAGAAAACTAGAAGAAAATAAGATGATAATTTTATTATTTGATATGATTGAAAATAGGAAGAAAATACATATTTATACATAATGTATTTAAAATGACATAAGTGCCCTCATTATATATATAATTATATATTATATCTATTTTTAAATTGTAAATCATAACTAAATAATTTATTTTTAATAATATTCATTAATATTTTTAAGTAACATATAAACTAATATTTGAGAATCTAATTCAATTAAAGTTATTAACATCCTACATCTTCTTCTCCCTAATGTGTCTAAAAGAAAATATAACTCATATTTGACAATCACTTTTATATTTCTATTCACCTCACTTCCAAATATTTGCGTTTTGCATTTCTAATTTATTTATTATTTCTCACTTTAAAGCAAAGTCTGCCTGACCTGATTTTCCACCCCTACTACGGAGGAAAAGTTTTTTATGGGACTCATGCATATTTTTTTCCTTCACTCCTATTTAATGTTGGAACCAAATGGTGGAAACCACTTTTCTTCCCTCCTCTTTTCTTTCATATTGTATTATATACAACCAAACATAGTGTAAATGCTGGTGATACAGGTAACCTATTACATGATGACACTTGAATTTTTTTTATTCTCTATACCAGGGCTTTTGAGTCTCCTCATTCATTTTTTATTCTCTGAACATACTTGTCTACAACAAATATGCAAAGCATGTAGTTTCCAATCAAACAGAAATCACCTCATTCACCATCTTAGCATAACCATACCTATCAAAACTCAAGTGAGCTTTCACCTTCTTGAAATAATTTTACTTTAAGAAATTTGGTTGTATTAGTGATCCCTTTATTCCGAAAAAATCATCTTATATTTTTCCTGAATATTTAATTCAGAACCCACCTTTAACCTTCTAAATAAAGAATCAATGAGATGTGAAGAGGTGTCCCAAAACAGCCTTGTCCATGGTGAGTGCATATGGGAAACATTTAGGTGAAGGAGTTGACAATTTGAAGGAAATAATTGAAGAGAAAATGAGGAGACTCATAAGCTTAGTTTAGAGAGTATAAAAAGTATTAAATAAGTTCATATATTATTATTGTGATTGTTTGAAAAAATGTATATTTAAATTAAAATTTTAATGATTAATTAATTTTTTAACTAATAACAAAGAGTGATACACTTTTGAAACATAGGATATGTTCATATTTGTTCCCTTGAAACTTATTAAATACTCTATAATTCCACCAGTTTTAATAACTCTTCTAATTCTACGCGTTTCCAATTCTTTAAAATCTCCAACTGTTCAACAATGGCATCGGTTTCAGCCATACAAGAATCGATTAATCAACCAATTCTTTTCTTCAATCCTTTTGTTGAAACTTCCAAATTATGGACTGATATAAGGAAAATTATATAGATACAGTTCCATCTATTAGAGCTAATGAATTTAAATATATATAATTAAATGAATAACTTTAACAACGGGTGAATTTTAAATCATGCATTATATCTAATGGATATATCCATTTGGATGAATATCGTCCAATTCATCCAAAAAATAAATATTTAAAAATGATATTATTTGTTTATCAATTTCATTTATGATGTCAACTCTCATATTGAATTATAGGAGATGTAGATATAGTTAATATTAAAAGTTGGTTCTTAATTAGATAACATATATAAATGTTTTACTTTAGAACCTTAATCATATACTTGTAGAATATTGCACAAAGACTTCATTCACCTTCATGTCAAAGTTCCATGATTGTCTCGAAAGAGTGTTAGAGTCATCATGGCAATAGGAAAGTGGAAAGTGTTGGTTGTTTTGCACCAATGTTCATCCAATGTTGACCATAGGTTTTCTCTATTGGATTGAGCCTAACAAGAGGTATGGAATTGAAGGGCTTGCTTTGTCTCTGTTTTCGATTTCCATTACATGATTAAATTGGGAAAATGATCTAATTGTATATTTTGGGGAATTTGTTGTTGCTAGGAATTAGTATTTTATGCATGTTTGGTGTGGATGAAAGTAAGCAGTTTTTTTTTGCTTATTTTTTTTGGAAAATAAGCTTAAAGTTATAATATAAGTATATTCACGATGAGTTGTTTATTTTAAAGTTTTTTTATTTTCTATTGAAATGTCAATTCCCATTTTATCCTTACTTTTAAGGTTATATCATTTATTATTTATATTTGTGTCATGTTGTTTTAAATATTGATATTGATTTTTTATTAATTTTTTAGCCTATGTAATGAAGTAATAAAATTTTAAAAATATTATTATTATTATATAAAAAATTTATATTTAAAAAATGCATGTCTTTGAGTAAAATATGTATATGATAATATATATAAAAAAATGTATATTTAAAAAAAATATGTAAAGAACAACCAAAATAATCACCACATAAGAAAAATAATCTCATATTATTTTCTGTAATTTACTCTATAAATAAATAGAACCTTATAAACTTCTATTTATTTGTGTGCCATGTTATTTTTTAGAGTTAATTACACTGATACCCCCTGAGTTTTAGTGAAATTACACAAATAATTCTTCATTTTTTGTCCTTACACGAACCGCCCTCACTCTTACATAAACCACCTCTAATTATATATATATATATATATATATATATATATATATATATATATATATATATATATATATATATATATTACACTGACCACCCCTGATGAGATATAAGTGTAAAATTTTAAACAAAAAACATGTGATGAATGTAATTAAGTTAAAAAAAATATTATATATTGTCGTGACCCGATTTTCGGTAGGAAGACCGGCCCTGCGACGTAGGGAGAGGCGAACTCGATTTCTACCTCTTCCAATTGATTTGGAGTCGTCACTACGTTTTTTGTGGTTAAAACGTAGAAAACTCTAAACATGCCCAATTAGGATAATTTGGTTTTTAATCAGAGATTCTGAGCTCGGGAGTCGATTACGGATCGGGGAAGATATTAGCACCCCGTCCGCCCGTATTAAAACGGTACACTCGCTAATAACATGGACTTTTATACCCTTAAAATTATTTATTAAAATTCAGTAAATAAAAACAAAATGTTTTATTTTTTATTGTTGTGTCTGACAAGAATTCAACTTGCTCCTACGTATCCCTAGTTGCAATAGAGAAATCAAGGCTATGTAGTTCTGGTTCGAAAATTAATTGGTTGATTTCGTTGATTTGAAGGTATCGATTTGGTTGAGTAATAGAATAAGTTTTTACTAAAACATTTTTGATATGAAATTAATAGTTTAGAGACGGCACTGGTCGTAGACCTCCTTCCCATTTTCAGAGAATTTAGAGACAACACGGACCCTAACCTTGCTATAAAAATTCCATTTGAAATTCGTTTAAATAATAAAAATAGATTTCCTTTGAAATATTTGACATGAAATTAATAGTTTAGAGACGGCACTGGTCGTAGACCTCCTTCCCATTTTCAGAGAATTTAGAGACAACACGGGCCATAACCTTGCTATAAACTCCTTTTAAAATCATTTGAATAAAATAAATTTCTTTAAAATATTTGATATGGAATTAATAGTCTAGAGACGACACTGGTCGTAAAACTCCTTCTCATTTTCAGAGAATTTAGAGACAACACGGACCATAACCTTACTATAGAATTCCATTTAAAATCATTGGAAATAATAATAATTATTTTTGTATTTCTATAACGACTTCTAATAGATGTAATATTCAAGGTTTAAAATTTGCCATAAAAATAAAGAGCTTAGTATCATTTGCACGTGATAATTATCTATATATCTTCTATAAAAATAAATACAAAAGTTCAAGGGATAATTATCTTCTATCTATAAAAATAAACACAAAAGTGTATAACATTTATTTTATCAATAAAGAAAGGAAATGCATTAATTTAAATTTTATTATCATTATTAGTAACAAAAACCAACAACAAAATAAAAACCCACTACAAAAGTAACCTGGTTGGGGGAAGGGGTTTCTTTTGTTTTCACTCATTTGGGAATTGAAGGAGTTAGGGAGTAGATGAGAAGGAGAGGGGAAGTGAGAAGACGAGGGAAAAGATTGGTGAGAAGACGAGAGAAAATGCGAAGACGAAGAGGATTCGGTTCTCCGGTATCCTTCTCCGATTCTCTTCTCCGTTAACGATGACACGGTGGTTTCGACGAAGGTAAACCCTTAAACCTCTTTCATTTCAATCTTCTTCGTTATTCGTCCGTATTTGATCCTTCTTCTCTTCGGTTTCGTCGATAGCGGCTACGGAAGTGAAGAAAGCCAAATGAAGGTGGTTGAAGTGATTCTATCGATAGCACTATGAATCCGCTTTGTGAAGACAGGGAGAACCGCCATTGCCAACTTCGTCCATTCAGAATCACCATCCTTGGTGAGGATTCGAAGGGTACCAAAATGGGTTCTTCGGAGAACCCGGGTTTGAGCGAAGGTAAACCCCCTAACTCTCTACTTTTTATTTTTTAGTTAAAAGTTAGAAATCAAAACCGAAAGATGATGCACGATTTGTAAACATACTTCTGTGTAGGTTTTTTTTATATATGGCTATGTGACTGCCTTACCAATGATTTACCTTTCAAATGCACGATTCACCTCTGTCTGACTTTAATCTGACTGGAAGTCCCTCTTCGCTTGCTTTTATTCGTCCTGAATGTATACCTTTAGCCCTTTTGGAGGTTAACCCTCTCTATTTGGTTGTTTTTTCAATATGTATGACCCTTTTTGTGTAATGTCTGTCTGTTGTTCCTGGATTATTGGATATGATGTGTGATATGTGGGATATCAAGGTAGATAGCTGTGAGTATGGTTTCTTTGGGTTGTTTTGTGTTTTTTCTGATTCGCGATATGTGAGTAATGGCTGGATGAGGAAGATAAGAGTTCTCTGGAAGCTCTGGTTATTGGTAAATGTCAATGTGTGTATGTCTCTCTTTTTTTGTGTGTGATATAAGAGTATGTGTGGGTATGTGTCTGGTATTGTTACGATGGAATTGTGTGGTGGGGAGGTAGATGAATGATCTCTATTTCTCAATGGTGTCCCCTTTTTCTGGTTTGATGTGTGTCTATATATAGCACCTAGCTGTTAGCCTTGAAGGTTAGTAATCTGCCATGACTTTTTGCTTTCCTGATTATTGTCTCTTTCTAAAACTGCTCAATGAATATTGCCATTTATGATTAGTATGTATAACTAATGACTTTTGGTTAGTATCTGATGGCTGTCTCTTCAAGTAAGTCATGGCTGGTTGCTTAGAATTCCTTGTGTAACTGACCTGATTTCCATTCTTTATTAATTTCTGATATTTGTTAATATCACACTGATCATTGATATGCTATTGTAACAGTTTTGCAGTTATGTATGATGGACCAAATACCATGAGCCTCGTGCTTACCTCCCTTGAAACCCATGTGAAGATTTGATTTTTTGCTAGTGTGACTGAACACAATACACCCCAAATATGACAGATGGCAGATAACATGTACAATGTTGAAGATGATTTGCCATAAGACCCAACTAAGGCCTTTTAATGTTCTTGCTCCTTATGATATTATATGTTTAGTCTAGAGCTTTAGATTTCTTAGAAGACATTCCATATTTGTAATTGCTACTATTGTTAGTTCAATGAGTAGTATTATTAATAAATTCATACCATCAAATGACACCACATCAATCCTTATTTCCCTACCCTTATATCACATTGGCAAGACAATGCACATGCATCCACTTCTCTTAGATTCTTGGTATAACATTAATTGAGTTTTCTTTCTTGCTTCCAATTTCAATAACATCTAATGTTGTTGGGTTCACCACTCGACCCTTTAAAATCCAAAAGCTTGCTTAACCTTAGTATGCCACCTAAGGTTGTTGGCATTGCTGAGCTGTCATTTTTATGCCACCTGAATATATCCACAAAAAGGGCAGTCCAAACTGATAATGCAAAGCAACAAATGATTACCATAATGTCATCTTAAAAAATTATCCACGTTCCTCTCATTTTTTTTGTTTAAGAGACAAACATTTTGGTATTGACAATGGGGTAGGACAAAATTGGGTGTTCACATATATTGTGTAGACAATTCCAAATAGTACAAAACTTAGTGTATTTTTATTATTTTTGTTTCATTACACAATATATTAACAATTCTAATGAGACGTTTATATAATCTTTATACTATTTTGTAATGAACCAAATAATGAAGATGCATTGACTCTTATATTATTTGGATTTCTTTACACAATATACAATATTTTGTTTAACTTAATTACACATATCACATGTTTTTGTTTGAAATATTACACTTATATCTCACAAGGGGTGGTCAGTGTAATATATGAACAAAATTAGGGATTGTTCGTGTAAAAGGGAGGGGTAGTTCGTGTTAGGACAAAAAAGGAGAGGTAATTTGTGTAATTTCACTAAAACTCATGGGGTATCAGTGTAATTAACTTTATTTTTATTTTTTAATATTGATATTGATTTTTATAATGTATTTTACTTTAATACATTTTTTAGCTTTTGTTATGCAATATTAAGAATGAAAAAAATTTATAGTAAAAATATATACAATAATAAATATTAAAAAATGTATATTTAAAAATAATGTAAAAACAAAAAAATAATTATAACATATACAAATAACTTCATACATTTTTCTATAGTTTTTTATGTAAAAACAATCTTCCATATTTATCCAAACAAAATATATTAGATTATATTCAATTTACAAAACATATTAAGTTTTCAATGCCCAAACCAAACAACTTATAATTTTTAACGGATTATAATTTCAAAATTTATTATATTAGAGTTTATAAAATGAAAGTAAAAACATAATCAAATATGAAATGTGGGTATATTACAACAGTCAAAATTTACCCACCGTTGGTTCTTTTCACAATATAGGCCTTATTGGTTTAAACTGATAGTGCAAATACGATTCTTTGTCAATGCTTATTGGTTTAAAGTAATAGTGCAAACATACTAGCGGCACGTGACAAAGGAAACCGCACTTCTTAAATCATCAATGTAACTGCATCCTCATCTGAACAAAGGTATAAGGAAGTACTCTGCCCAAAGAAGCTGTAATAGTAAAAATAGAAATGAAATATTGAACTGTTAATAAATCATGTACAAGTATGGGTAACTCTAGCTCTAGATATTGTCCAACTTTTTTTAAAAGATAATTATATAATGGAGGAATCCACTTGATCTAAAAGAGTAAGTGAAAAAATCATACTTCACGTTATAGTCATCTATTCTTAAAAAATCTAATGATCTGAATTGATAAGTACATCTAAACCATTGGATTTTCCAAGAATAGGTGGCTAAGATGTGAAGTAAAATAATCCTAAACTTCAGCAACTACAACATCATTGAGCTCTAAGAAGTGGAGGTTGTTGTAAGTAACGGAAATGGTATCTTCCTACTTCATTCCAACTAATGGAAGCTATCAACATGCTCACGGTAAGAATAGCATATGTTGTAAATTATATTATATTGCAATAATTATGCATACATATAAATATATTTAAATTAACTTCATTGTACTAATGTACTTCCGATGTACCAACAAAACATTAGTTTAGTGTTATAAGGCTCTGATAGATCTTCATGATGACCAAAAAATCAATGATTCAATTCCTATAAGCGACACTTGTTGAGAGGATCAATCATACACTCTGAAAGGAATTAGTTCCTTACTCATAGGGTAAGAGAATACTATTTGTAGTAAAAACAAAGTACTCCAATGTTTTTGAAAAGAAGTTATTAGAAGTAACAACAAATAGTTTCTCAAAGAAAAGTAACTCAAAGAAGGTTCTTTGGGGTGAGAGGAGATGAGAAAAATATCATGGGTGAATTGAAAGAAGATTTATATATATGCCTTAAGGATAATGGTGGGCTAGGTTTAAAAATTAGAATATTTTTAATTTGTCTTTATAGTAAATGGAGATGAAGAACTATCAATGTGAGGTTCAAGAGAATATTTTTAATTAGAATGTTTAGCTTGAAAAATAGTCATGAATGGAATACCTATACCAATATTTTAGCAAGTCATGCATTATGTGGAGGTTCAGAGAAATCATCCAACCATATATTTTTCTCTTGCCTAAAGTCCTATGACATTTGTCAAAAACTCTATCCGTGGTTCGAAATTTCTTCTATCATTCACAAAGAAGTTAAAATTCAATTCCTAACTTATGAAGATATGTGTTGAATGAGGCTATGAGGAAGCATGTGTGACTATTTCTGTGATATGTAACTATCAAGAATATCTCACATGATAGAAATCATAATATGTTTGAAAATCAGGACTTTCACTTGGACTATCTAGCGAAGTTGATTTATCTAAATCAATGGAGCCTTGTAAAAGCAAGATTTGAGAGATTTATGTTATGGATGTCAAACCCTTTGACTTATAGCACTTTCTGATAGACTTTTGGTAGTTTAGAGTATTACATTGCTTATTCTCCTTACCATTTTTCCTTTTTAATAATATTATCTTTTGTTTACCCATAAAAAATAACAATATTTTAATATTCAATTTATTGCATAATTTTTATTATTAAGCAAAATGGATATTTAATGATAAATAATTTATAAAGTTGGCAAATTACCTTCCAAATAAACATATAAAAGGATTGCAAGGCAACATTGCTCTTCAAATCTACTTGTTTGGCATGATAAATGAGGACTGAAGCAAGAATAGCATGTCCCATACCCTAAAAACAATAAAGGTAAGAATAAATATCAATCTTTTTCATAATTGGTAATTTAAACATTTAATTTAAGTATCTTGAGCTTTATTGTGAAGTAGTTCCTCCTTGAAAGTAACACTTTACCTTTGAGCCTAATATAAAGAGCATACAGATCTAAAGTCACAATAGTCTAATGTATGAAGATATTATTTTGATTACAATTTACAAAATATTTCCTTATTCAGAATAAAGTATTTCCTCGTATCAGAAGATAACTTATCTCCTTCAGCCAGTAAAAATATGACATATGTATTGTTTTGTTCAGTTTTAGAAATATTTTTTTAGAAAATGATTAAATGGTACACATGTCATGATTTTAGTGGCTGAAGGAGATAATTTATCTCTTTATATCAGGGGATACATTATTCTCTATTTTAATATAGACATATGGAATAACATATATAAGTAAATAATATATTACTGTGGAAATTTTGCTCCAGAGGACAGGAGATGTTGCCCCCGCCAAAATGGTGAACCCATAAGCCATTTCAAGAAGTGAAATACAAATCCAAAATACCTAGCAAAGAATAATTAGGTACAAAGGTTTATATCGGGAGCAAATCTGTTATCCCAAAAAGTGTGTCACTAAGATATTGAATGAAGAAACTTACTTGCTTTTGACCCAAACGTGTTGACAAAGATCGAATACCAAATTTTGTATCTCCTTCCATGTCAGGTATATCCTATATAAATGAAAATCCAGAAAAAATATTTTACATCTAAGTACATATATCACAGTAGAAGTTTGATATATAAAAAATAGCTTAATTTGAGAAATTAGAAGTTTTTACCTTGAATAATGCTATAACCACAAAGAAAAGGCTCAAAATTGAAAGACAAAAGATGAGTGGTCTTGTTAATGTGGCTGGCCTCTTCAACACAATGGTCTGAAAATTTTGACATGTATTAGAAACCATAATGATTAGTTCCATTACACAAACCACAATATTATGTCAATAATTATGGCTGCGAAATGCAATTTAAAACATCGTAACAATATATCTTTTAAAAGGAGAATTCTGTACGAAAAAACCTGGATGTGAAAAAAATATCCAAGTGGCCTTGCTACTCCTGTATTAAGTAAAATGGTGGTTGCGGCAAGTGCTGGAGATTTCTTCCATCTCAACAATGGCAACTGTGAACATAATTTGAGAAGTGACAAATATATACGAGAAAATTATTATTAATTTATAATAACTTACTTGTTATATTAATAACTTATATTTTTACAATCAGACTTTCATGTTAAAATGGACATGTTAGTGCTATGGGGGAAATCTTTTAAATATAACTAGCATATAAGTTACAAAGTAAAGATAATTGCATTTATTATATTATTTAATTTACAATGATTTAACACACTAAATACTTAAATGTCATACTTTAAGGAATTAAGAAAAGATAAACTTGTATTGGAAAACTAACGCATGATGGAATTTATTAACATTTCCTATAATTAAATTATGAATGTTGTTTTACATTGTATTTTGCTAACATACACGTTCACTTTAAAAAGATTTATTCTAATGCAACAATTCCCTTATTTTATAAGCCATTGAATTTGATTCCCACTGCAACATGTGTAGTGATTTATGTTTGGGAAAGTTTTG